TTTTTGCGACCTTTTGAGGGGGAGATACATGAAGAAGTGGACCGATATTGCCCATTTTAACACCAGACCTTGGGTCAATATAAATATTGGGATGTGTGAAATTTGAAGATAATCGGACTCTTATGTCATATTCTATGAGAGTTGTAATTATTCAAAATTTTGACCATTTGTGGTAGAGGTACTTGATGGAGTGGACCGATATTCACCATTTTCACACCTCACCTAGCACTGACGCAAATATTAGGATTTGCAAAGTTGGAGCAAAATCGGATTATCCTTTCTCTTTCTGTGCAAAAAATGTATTTTTTTTAAATTTGGACCTTTTGTTGGGGAGGTACCAGAAGGAGTGGACCGATATTGTCCATCTCCGAACTCGATCTAAACAAAAATTTTACGATGTACTAAGTTTGGACAAAATCGGATACTCCCTTCGAGAGCCAGACAGACAGACGGATGGACATCGCTAGATCGACTCCAAATGTTCTGAAACGGATTTGGTTCAAAGAGTCCTAGGGTCTAAAACCGTTATTTCGACTAGGCACGTTTTGACCGTATCAAATGATATATACCATCTGCAGTCATATGGCTGAGGGTATAAAAAAAAATAATAAAAAATTACTGTATCAAATGTGTTTAAATGTTCCGACCAAGGAAACCTTTTGTTGACTCACTTGAGGGTTAACATTTTCGATCCGAATAATACCATAGACTAATGAAAATACAGACATAGGAAAGTTTTTTTTTTTTTTTTGAACGCATATGGCTCTCGGCACGCTTTGGTATAGTCAACTGGCAGATTTACGCAGTCGACATACTCGACTTCAAAAACACATTTCATCGTTTTTTAAGAATTTAATTTGATAACCCCCGTATTTTCCAATGTCATAATTATTTATATTTTTACTTTTTTCATTACAGAACAATTTTCTACCAATTAATATCCTACAGTTGGTGATATCATCAACATTTTAGAATTGAGTGACTTCAATATTTTCACTCATGTCTTGAAACGATATAGACGACATTTGCTGATCCGTACTTTTTTCGATGATAAGCGGTAAGTGCATTCCTCCATCTATATTTTCATCAGTCTTTGATAATACTCATATTTTTATACGTAATACTGTCAATGACACTGTGAACCTAAAATGCACGGATTCCAAGGAATCTTAATCCAAAAACTTCAAAAAATGATGGTAAGGGGAAACTAACGATGTAAAGTTTGCCTTTGCAATAAACCCTATAGACACCTAGCGTAAAACATGGGAGAAATAGACACGCAGGGGTTTTGTCTGTGATTAAACGAAATATCGGAGACATCAACCGCTTAAAATCTTAAAGTACTAAATAAACGTTTAAAATGGGAATATACGATACTAGGAAATATAAAAATATCTGTTGCTTCTTTTGTACTAAATATGTATTTGTAGGGAAATTTATTAAGATTTAGTTTTGTTAGGATTGTGACTTAGCTCTGCCTACATATAATAGAGGGTCTATTTTTTTTTTTGGTACAATAATACCTCATTTTATAAAATTTTCTGAGGTTCCAAATAGGAGTAATATAAATGTAGTTACTTTTTTATAAAATCGTCTGGAGAATACAGTAAAAGTTTAAAAATTACAAAACAGTTGTGGAACCGTTATATGAAGGCTATACCAACTAGTGAACCTCAATCGAATATTTGAGAACAGACCTACAACGAATCCATAATGTAAAGTTTCAGATTATTTGGTTGGAAATTGAGGCGGAGACCTCCAATCAATTGAAAATCTGGCGGTGCCGTTATATGGGGGCTATACCCAAAGATGGACCAATATATGTTTTATGTTTGTAAGCATTAATATGGATTCTATAGTGAATTCAACAGAAAACCAGACGGACAACGCCTCATAATTTTATTGTGAACAGGAATATTTATAAATTTTGGGATCTCCGAATATTTCGTAGTGTTGCAAACGGAAAGACGGAAATAGTTCAAAATGTTTATACTCGGAAAGAAAATTATTATTTGGTTTTATTTTTTTTAAAATGTTTTTTCTTTCAAAATGCCTTAAAATGTAATTAATTTTGAAGGTACTACTTCTGGCAAAATGTCCGATTTTATTACATTTCAGTTTAAATGTGATAAAATTCAAAATGACTCGGAGATTTATGAGGGATGCTTATCCTACCACACAGAGTAATGCAGACGCCCGATAAGATAAATGAATGAAAATTTTTACTTCTACAATATCTGGTAGTAGAAATTATGTAGATCAACGTTTAGGTCTAGCTCCCATACCTCTACCTACACGATTTCCAATCGAATTGGCTACAGTTTTGTACTTTAGGTTCTATTGGTTGCAGCTTTTAATATCACTCAAAGCTTAGAGATTTTAAGAGAACTTATTTCACTACAATGGTTCTTTGTAATTATATTCGTCATTGACCCCATAAAGTATGTATTCATGACCAGCATCAAATTCTAAGTAGATTTAGCTATGTCTGTCTGTTGAGATCGATTCAGTCCACATTATGTGACGTAGAGCTTTACAATTTGGCATAGTAGTTTGAATTGTGTGTAGGATGTTTGGTATTGAAAATAAGATATATCGGTCCACGTTTTGGGTAGCTCCCGATATACCGTATATTGATGGCTTTAGCCACATTTTTTTACTAAATTGTCTAAGAATTGGTATTTGTGGATCGTTATGAGTTCTAGCCCTAGTGGCGGAACATTGTACACATAGGTCCGCATTGTCGTATAGCCCCCATATACCAGTAACTCCCGATATTCGGTTTTTGATAATTTTTGCCACCATTTTCCACGGATTTCTCTAAAAATTGGTATTTTTAATTTGTAATGGATTCTAGCTCCGGTGGGTTTTCCTTAAGCATATATATATAACGGTTCCTTCGGATTTTCGATATTTTGACAGTTTAAGGCGCATTTACCAATAGATTTGTGTTAAATTTGATATTTGTACTTCATAATGGGTTCAACGGTTTGGAACGATTTCCAACGGTTCGGTACCACGAAATGATGTCAGATTTGGTATTTAAGAGTAGCAATAGATTACAATCTTTTTAATATGAAATTGTCTATATAGGCTTCCGTTTTAGTGTGGCCCTCATATAACGGCTCCCAGCCTTAATTTTTTTTTTTTTTTTTTGAAAATACGAACTGTTTTGTATTTGGAATTTTGATAATCCTAGTCACATTTACCCACGAAATTGTTGCAAATTTGGTATTTAAGAAGATCTGGAAGATGACCATCCTTGATGTATAAAATTGTCAATGGAGGTTCCGTTTTGGTATGGCCCCATATAACGGCTCCAACCATTCTCCTACCGATCTTACTGGAGTTTGTAGTTTAAACTGGAACACGTTTGAAGTTCGGCCCGGCCGAAATTAATGTATTTTTACTTGTTTTTAGATTTATCATATTTAGGGTTCCTATACGTCACAATACCTACAACTGCGAATGTATTCTTGTGTGATTGAGTTGTTGGTAATAATTTAAGTTTGCCTTCAAAAATAAGATTTCAAGTTCCCCACGTTATTAACTTGTTTTCAAATAGATTAAAATTAACAATTTTGAAACTAAATTTAAGTTATAAAATTTAACGCTGGTTAATTTAAAACCAGTAAAGAAAGTCTTAAAGTCGGGCGGGGCCGACTTTTGATACCCTACACCACTTTGCTAATTAAGTAGAGCTCCACATAACAATTAAAAGTTTTTTATGGGTGAATTCAATCATACACGCTATGATTTTAATTATAATTTAAAATTCAAAGGACTAAATATGCCGAAGCATTTGTATCTTTTAAATTCGGAATTGTATTGCCCATTTGGTGCACAATTAATTTGAAATCGGATAAAAATATATATGAGAGCTATATCCAAATCTAAACCGATCTCGAAAAAATTTGGCAAATATATTTCTGAGCTGTATTTGATATATTTCCATGAATATCGTTGTTACGGAGTGCATATTACGGTTGTGGGTAACAAATATAACAAATCGGATGAATAATATATATGGAAGCTATAGCTATTCATGAACCGATCTTCACCAAATTTGACATACTAGCTTCTAGACTCAATTCGGTCGTAAGTGCCAAATTCCATCCTATTTGGACAAATATTATACGTTTGGTGCACAATAAAAGGTAAATCGGACGAAGTTATATATGGGAGCTATATCCAAATCTGAACTGATCTCGATAAAATTTAGCAAATGTATTTCTGAGCTGTATTTGATATATTTCTCCAAATATTGTTGTTATGGAGTGCATATTACGGCGGCGGTGGACAAAAATAACAAATCGGATGAACAATATATATGGGAGCTATAGCTATATCTGAACCGATTTCGATCAAATTTGGCATACATATTTTCAGTTTGGGTGTATATGCAAAATTCCATACAATTCGGGCTGATATTACACGTTTGGTGCACAATAAAAGGCAAATCGGACGAAGATATATATGGGAGCTATATCTAAATTTTGACCGATTATCTCCAATTTTAATAGGGTTCGTCCTTGGGCCAAACAAAAGATCTTGGCAAAATTTCATCTGGATCGGGCAATAAATGCGACCTGTACCTTGTTTACAAAAATACATGGACAGACGGACAGACGGACGGACAGACGGACGGACGGACAGACGGACGGACGGACATGCATAAATCGACTCAGAATGTGATTCTATGCAGATCATCAAAAGGAACTATAGGTCTATCTCGTTTCCTTCTGCCTGTTACAAACAAATGCACAAAGACATAATACCCTGACCACCTTGTGGTGTAGGGTATAAAAATTAAGATGCGTAATTTGTAGCTACAAAACTGTAAGAAAATGTACACAGATACAATTCAAACACATTGAATTATATTTAGATTATTTTCATTTTATTTTTCCAATTGTTTCTTAAATCTAAACAAAATTTCTTTTGTTTTTTTTTTAAATAAATTCATAAATATTTTTTATAAATAGTTAAAATTATTATATAAATTATTGAAGATATTTACAAAATGATCCATTATAAATGCATTGCTTAGGATGGGATTGGTATAATTTTTTTTTTACGAAAAAAAAACTATATGCCAATAAATACCGTTGTCTAGGATGTGATTTTGTCAATTTACAAGTTTTTTTGTTGTGTCAATAAATTTAACAAAACACACCTAATATATTTTAATTTTTAACGAAAGAAAAAAACTTGTCTAAACCAAGACTCAAACCAGAAAAAGGTGAATTTTAATTTTAATCTTCCCAGTTTTGAAAGGAAATTTCAAGATAAATTTCTAAAATAAATGGGAAATTTGTTTCGTTTTTATGGTTTGTGTCTAGACTACGTTGAAATTTTTGTTCGTTAAGTTTGGCCAATTCATGGGATTTGTTTCTCTTAAGACTCATTTAGACTGTGCGATTGAGTGATTTTATAAAGCCACGTTTACATTGAATTTCTGAACTATGTTTTCATAGGTTAATTGTCAATAAAACGGAAAGTTAGTTTAAAATAATTTTTAGGGAGGTAAAAACTCTAATCAAAATCTAATACTTTTATGATTTTTTTTTCTTCCATTTCTTTTTTTTTTTTTTTTATGGAGATTCCAAGAGGGTAATATTTTCCCTTGAAATCTCCTGGTTGTGTTTTGAATTTGGTTTTTCTCCTCCCTTAAATCAATTTTAGGCTAGCTGAACTTACTCTCGCCCAGTCTTATGCGAGTGCTTTGGGCCACATTATCTGGCCCTAGGTAGCTTCCTTCCTTTTTTTGTTTCTTACTAAAGTGTCTGTCTAAAACATTTTGACGGAATGCTCGCAATACTTTTGTTGCATTATATTTTCACTTCCTGTTATAACGGCTGATGATTCATTGATGGGACATAGTTTCAGATGAATATGAGGTGATTCCAGAGACTCAATAATAATATATGAAATAAAGATGCGTGGCGAGGTGAGTAGACGCCAGGTTAATGGATTGAAAAGGCTTGTTTGATAATCCCAATAGACACTGGCATAGACGGGATCTTTGATTTCATTGCCCACCACTAGGCTGGTATATTCAAAACCAGGTTCGAAATATTTTGGCTCTGAGGAGAATTTCATTTTTTCGGTAACCTTTTTGTGGGTTCTACCGTGTAGGCGTACCGAGAGTGTGCCGATTTCTCCGCCATGGGTGGTACTTTGATCGTGACCCGAAACTCGTACACTGATTTTGTAGTGGTGGCCTAGAAGAGAGAAGAAAATACGGGAAATCATTAGTAAAGGATTTTTTTTTTGAAATTTCTTGAAAATATCAGTACAGAATAATCCCAATATCTGCTCCAGAACTGCAACCATGTAAAAAAAATTTACTATGATAACCAATTTTCCTTTTATGATATAGAAAAAAATTTAAATTAGAACATTCTTGCGGGTTCTGGAACAGAGCAATTGTCTTGGTTTTCGATTTGAAAAAGTGATTGAATCGACAATTTTTAAACCCTCCACCATAGTATGGAAAATATATTATGTTTGTCATTCCGTTTGTAACACCTCGAAATATATATCTTAGACCCCACGAAGTATATATATATATATATATTCTTGATCAGCATGAAATTCTATGTCGACTTAGCGATGTCCGTCCGTCTGTCCGTCTGTGGAAATCACTCTAGCTTCCCAACGAATTAAAATAGATTGATAAAATTTTACTCAAATGTATGTTATGCCTGCAGGACTTTTGTTATTGAAAATGGGCCATGTAGGTCCACGTTTTGCTATAGCCCCCATATAACGGGACCTCCCGATATTCGGTATTTTGGTGATTTTAGCGACATTATTCATCGGCATTGTTTAAAATTTGGTATTTGAAGTTTTAAATTAATACTACAGCCTATGACAGAAAATTGTCTGTGGAGGTCCACGTCTTCGTATGGCCCTCATATAACGGTACCTTCCTATACTCGGTATTTTGATGATTTTAGCAACATTATTCACCAGAATTGTTTCAAATTTGCTATTTGAAGTTTGATATTAATACTACAGCCTATGACAGAAAATTGTCTGTGCAGGTCCACGTCTTCGTATGGCCCCCCTAAAACGGTACCTTCCGATACTCGGTATTTTGATGATTTTAGCGACATTATTCACCGGAACTCTTTCAAATTTGGTATTTGAAGTTTGAAATTTATACTACAGCCTATGACAGAAAATTGTCTGTACAGGTCTACGTCTTCGTATAGCTCCCATATAACGGTACCTCCGGATATTCGGTTCTTTGTTGATTTTAGCGACACTATTCACCGGAATTCTTTCAAATTTGGTATTGGAAGTTCGTAATGGATATTACAGCCTGTGACAGAAAATTGTCTGTGCAGGTCTATGTCTTCGTATAGCCCCCATATAACGGTACCTCCCGATATTCGGTATTTTGATGATTTTAGCTACATTATTCACCGATTTTTTAAGTTTCGCATTTGAATATTGTAATATTTTATGACAAAAGTTAGCTATGCAGGTCCATGTCGTCGTATAGACCCTAATGTAATGATTTTAATAAAATTTTTAACAGATTTTATTGTTTTTGAGAATTGCAAAATTCGTTCCAAATGGTGGAGGGTATTCAAAGTTCGGCCCGGCCAAAGTTACAGCTGTTTTTTTTTTTTTTTGTTTCTTCTGAAGTTTATGAATAGGATACTTACGGCAGAAGGGTGCTTTATCCCCGGTCATCAGGTACAGAATAGGAGGATTTTTCTTGCTATCAATTTTCTTGGCCCTAGCCAGGCTGCGATAATCCTCCCAGCTATGATAACCCATTCGCATACAACGATTGCCATTTTCATTGCAGCGCGAGCATTTGCCCTCCTTAAAACTCTGTAAAAAAACAAATTTTCCGGTTAATTTTTTGACAATTTTAGATTTTTATAAAAATTCAAACTCACCTCATACGACTCACAGGTGATACCCATAAAAGGACATTTACTGCTCACGCTCTCCGTAAAATATTGATAACTTCTCAAGTGGTTACAGCTCAAAAACATTTGCATATTCTCGAACAGAGTATTCTGGCGATTTTTCATATATTCCTGCAGCTTGACATCACACCCCGGCATTCCAATGCCGCCATTGGGATAGAAATCAATGTGACCCACTCTCTGATATAGACCCAAACCACCGACAATATTTGCATCGGTATGTATGACATCAACGAAATGGGCATCAGAACGATCCAGCCGTACAATGGGATCCGTTTCCTCGAACAGAGGAGCAGCGGGGTCCATGCCAGTTATACGTCCCAGTTTTAAACCAAAATCACGTTGTAAATGCGTTCCAGCATAACCGGCCAAATGTGAACCCAACGAATGACCAATGAAATGGACATTATGTAAATTATCCATGCCCAGCTCTTCGTAGAACATGTGTATGACATGGGCAGTAATGGCGCCGACCAAACGAATATTGGCCACAGCTTGAACATATGGTGGACTTGAACCACCACCCCAATCAATGAGCACCACTGCAGCTTCACCTTCGGGTTCGGCGTTCAGGATGGCTTTGCCCATTTCAATCATCTGGAGAAAGATTCAGGGGAAATGGAGAAATTAGTAAAATTCTAATATGGGAGTAGTTACTAAATTTATATAAAAAATGTTTCAATGTCTTTTTTTAAATAATTTTAAGACGTGGACCTGTACGAACTTTAAATATTTTATATTTTTTAAATCCTAAAAACCTCACACCACCTTTTCTGAAATTTTGCATTTCTACGAAGTATATTTAAAAAACCTACTAACCTCAATTCTGTAGCTTTACAAAATGTTTTTCAAAATGACCTACTGACCCACTTTTATTAATAATTTGAAACATTTTTTTCCGATAAATCTCTTTAATTCCTTATCTATTGCAAAACTTACCCATGGCACATTGCCACCCTCCAAATAACCGTGTGATATAAAAAACAATTTTCCCTCCGGATTAATTTTCATGTGACGCAATGCTTCAGGATCATTGAGGTCGACAAACTTAGGATCGTTAAATGCCCTCGTGGTATATAACGTATAATGGGGTTCAATTTGTGATGGCTTCTGAGGATGGACATTTATTTGGCGAGTCTTTGACATCCAGGGTCCATTCAATGGGAAACAACCATAGACACCATAGCATCGAACTTCATTTACGTCTAAAATGAAACAGAAAAACAATAAAAATTAATTTTAATAAAAAAACGCTCATTAAATGTCTGTCTGTCTACAAATGGCAATTTTCTTATCTCTAATAATGATTTCGAAATGAATTGAATTTATTTATAAATTTTATAGTAACTGATGGCTTATATAGAAAAAATTCTTTTATATATATGGTGTTTCTAAGTGTAGAATTGCACGCTTGAACCCTTCACTTCTGTATACATGAGAATATAATTTGAGATAAGAGCTTTGGCATTTGTTGGTTATAAGTTTGCGAAGTTGCTTGTAAAGCCTTTGATCTACTAAGAAATTTGCAGAATTAGGCCTACATTGTACATTTTTGCAGCAAGAAATATATGGCTCATTGAAATAGGTCAATAATGTGACCTAATTTTGGATTTATAATTTAGGTCACTTTCATTTGTGAGGCATCGAGATATGCACTAGAAATTCAGATGAAGCTATTGGGGCTTTAAGACTTTTAGATATTTAATAAATACCCACAATCGTGGATTTTTAAAAGTCCATAAACGTGGATTTTTACAAATAATCGCGAGAGAGAGAGAGAGAGAGACAGACCAATAATCGTCAATTTTTAAAAATATTTTTAATATAATTTTAGAAACCCATAATCGAGGATTTTTAAAAATATTTTTAAAGTTTCATGATCGTTGATTTTTAAATATATTTTTAAAATAATTGTAGAAACCCATAATGGTAGATTTTTTAAAATATTTTCCAAGACCCTTAAACATGGATATTTAAAAATATTTTTAGAAACACATAATTGTAGATTTTTTAAATATTTTTTCAAGACCCTTAAATGCGGATTTTTAAAAATATTTTTAGAGACCCATAATCGGGAATTTGCAAAGACCCCTAAAAGTGGATTTTTAAAAATATTTTTTAAGACCCATAATCGTACCTTTTTAAAAATATAAACTGACCCACATTTTTGGATTTTTAAAAATATTTTATCGTTAATTTCAAAAAAAAAAAAAAAAATTGTGCATTTTTGAAAATATTTTTTCAAATATTCATATCGTGGATTTTTATAAAATATTTTTCCAAAGATCAACTGATCAATAATCATGGATTTTAAAAAATATTCTGTAAAAAATCATGTGACCTATAATCGTGGATTTAAAAAAAAAAAACTTTCTTGAGACCCATAAACGTGGATTTTTTTAATTTTTTCGATAGATTCATAATCGTAGATTTTTTTTTTAATCTAGAGACCCATAATCATGGAGACTCATAATCGTGGATTTTTAAAAATATTTTTAGGGACCTTTAATCTTGGATTTTTAAAAATAGTTTCAAAGACCAATAATCGTGGATTTTTAAAAATAGTTTTAAAGACCCATAATCGTGGATTTTAAAAAATATTTTTGAAAAGATCAACTGACTCATAATCGTGGATTTTAAAAAATATTTTTGAAAAGATCAACTGACTCATAATCGTGGATTTTAAAAAATATTTTTGAAAAGATCAACTGACTCATAATCGTGGATTTTAAAAAATATTTTTGAAAAGATCAACTGACTCATAATCGTGGATTTTAAAAAATATTTTTGAAAAGATCAACTGACTCATAATCGTGGATTTTAAAAAATATTTTTGAAAAGATCAACTGACTCATAATCGTGGATTTTAAAAAATATTTTTGAAAAGATCAACTGACTCATAATCGTGGATTTTAAAAAATATTTTTGAAAAGATCAACTGACTCATAATCGTGGATTTTAAAAAATATTTTTGAAAAGATCAACTGACTCATAATCTTGGCTTTTTTAAATATTTCTAGGGACCCATAATCGTGGATTTTTAAAAATATTTTTGTAAAGATCAACTGACTCATAATTGTGGATTTTTTAAAGATATATTTAAAGACCCATAATTTAATTTTTTAAAACATTTTAACAGACCATGGGTTTTTTTAAATATTATTATTATTTTTTTTTAAAGATTAATTCAATTTATTGTGGATTAAAAAAAAGTATTAACTGGCCTATAACTGTGGATTTTGACAAATAGATTTTAAATTTGGTATTTGGATTTCGTTAGAGTTGGGTCAGAATCCACATTTTCGATGGCGGAGACACCATATACCTAAAATCAACAGATTCCATGGATCCAAGAAAAACCCCTCTGTTGACTAAGAAGACCCCTTTGTTGACTCGGCAGAGGATTAAAGTTACTGACCAACATAATCCTCGTATTATTATCTATAATATTGCCGAGGACACTATATGTCTAAAATCAACGGATTTCAAGGAATTCTACTCCGAAAATTTCAGAAAATGTGGAAGTTTGGAGAATTTGTCCGCTCTACTTTGGTCAATTTGCTATGTAAACTTTCAAACGCCGATTTTAGCTCTACTTTCATAATCTGCTGGATTTCTCCTGTAATTAATTTTTGTTGTTAAATGGAATTTAAAATTGAAGGAGATTTCAGTAAGACCGTGGTATACATAAAGGAGCATGACATTTTGTCTCATAATTACTAACCCATTTAGAGGCGGATGACCTCTAAAATTGTGGAATTTAATTATTGTTCTCTTTTTTAGTAAAGGCCTCCGAAGCTATTTCATACTCCAAAAATCTCTCAAAGAGAAACCCCCCCCCAAAAAAAAAAAAAAAAAAAAAAAAAAAAAACAACGAAACCGCAAAGACATCTACCCAGTGGGCTATTAAAACATAATTCCTGCTATTACAGCACACGCTTGCATGTGCTGCAAATTAGTTACAGTCACGTTGAATTGCCTCAAAACAGCGGTTAGCGCAAGTCGGAATACTTCTAGAGTTTTGTTGCCCAATTTTTGTGTGTTTTGTTTTTACATGTTTCCACAATTGAGGGGAATTTTCGAGATATAACAAAGCCAAACCACAGCAGCAACTGCAACTGCATCTGAATCTGCATCTGTGATAATTGACCATTTGGGTGTTTTAATTACTTACCAGCTTTTGCAGAGGCCGGTACATCGATCAGCGTATCAATGGCTGCTCTATTTGTGTGATTTGCCAAATACAGCATGGTCTGCAGCATCAGACCGCCGGTGGAATTTGCAACATACATTGCGGCGTTACAATTAAATGCAATGCAGTATTTGCGATATTTGTTTTTGTTGTTCTCTTATTTTTTCTTTTTTTTTGTTGTTGTTCCACAATTTATTTTACTACGAACTGAAATTGTCTTATCAATTTTATATTTTGTAGTACTAGAGTCACAGTCTATAGTTCTATGTTATATTCCGTTTTTTTCTTTGACGTTTGTTTTATATTTCCACTTATCATTTAAAATAGCAACAATTCACAATAACGTCAACTATTTAATTAATGTTTGTATTTTGTTTGAATATTATTTTCCGTATTATTTCTTCTTTTTTTTCAAGTCTTCCATAGACCTTCTTGTTTGAAATGCACCGCTGTACTGAGATTTACCGAACGTTTGTTAGGAATTTTATACCGATCAGCCGCCAATGAAATACTCTTCACTTGTTGAAAGATCTCTCGCACGCTTTGACCACCAGGCCACCGCTCTTTTCAATCTCATCTTGACCACATGTATTTGTTATTATTTTCGCTCAAGCCCCCCAAATGGTTGGATGTTGTTGTTTTTGTTATTCTTTTACTCAAATTCAATTGTTTTCCGTTTTATTTTCATTTGGAGAGAGTGAGAGAGCGACAGTTTAAAGTACAACAGCCTCCTTTCATTTGCCTCTTAGGTCTCCGCTTGATTTGAATCTTCCGTCGGTATCATCGTCATTGCTCTGTTTATCAGTTGTGGTTTTTTGCTGGCTTTAAGCCGTTTATACCAAAGTCCCCCCATGCTTTGCTACTGGCCACTGACTTTCGTGCAATGAATGATCCCGCAAAGAATCCCATTTGTAAACCAAAGCAGATCTTGTTATTCTTTTGCGCGCCTAAACAGTTAGGGATAGATTTTTAATGTAGTTTAGAGTACACAGACAAAAAATTGGGGTTTCAAAAGGAGGATGTATTAAATTTATCATTCCGTCGGAGATCTCAAAAAGTGTATATATTTTTGATTAGCGTAAAATCTTAAGTCGAAATCACGATAGAGTCCACGTTTTTATACCCTGCGCCACAATGTGGTCAGGGTATTATGTCTCTGTGCATTTGTTTGTAACAGACAAAAGGAAACGAGATAGACCCATAGTTCCTTTCGATGATCTGCATAGAATCACATTCTGAGTCGATTTATACATGCCCGTCCGTCGTCCGTCTGTCCATGTATTCTTGTGAACAAAATGCAGGTCGCATTTATTATACGATTGAGATGAAATTTTCCAAACAACATTTGTTTGGCCCAAGGACGAACCCTATTGAAATTGGAGATAATCGGTAAAAAATTAGATATAGCTCCATTTATATATCTTCGTCCGATTTGCCTTTTATTGTGCACCAAACGTGTAATATCAGCCCTAATAGTATGGAATTTTGCACAAACAACCAAATTAAGCCTGAAAATAAGTATGCCAAACTTGATCGAAATCGGCTCAGATATAGCTATAGCTGCCATATATATTGTTCATCCGATTTGTTATTTTAGTCCTCCGCAGCCGTAATATGCACTTTTCTCTAACAAGAATATTTAGAGAAATATATCAAATGCAGCTCAGAAATACATTTGCTAAATTTTATCGAGATCGGTTCAGATTTGGATATAGCTCCCACATATAACTTCGTCCGATTTAGCTTTTGTTGTGCACCAAACGTCTAATATTTGCCCAAATAAGATGGAATTGGGCACTTACGACCGAATTGAGTCTAGAAGCTAGTATGCCGAATTTGGTGAAGATGGGTTCAGATATAGCTATAGCTCCTATATGTATTGTTCATCCGATTTGTTATATTTGTTACCCACAGCCGTAATATGCATTCCGTAACAACGATATTCAGGGAAATATATCACATACAGCTCAGAAATATCTTTGCCAAATTTTATCGAGATCGGTTCCGATTTGGATATAGCTCCCATATGTATCTTTATCCGATTTTAAATTAATTGTGCACCAAATGGTCAATACAAGTCCGAATTTAAAAGATACAAACTTTAAATTATAATTATAGTTATATATGATTGAATTCTCCCATAAAAACATTTACTTGTTATGCGGAGCTCTACTAAATTAGCAAAGTGGTGTGGGGTATCATAAAGTCGGTCCCACCCGACTTTAAAACTTTCTTTACTGCTTTAAATTAGAGCTTTGGCACAAAGGTTTATATTATAAGCAGGCTGATTGGTATTGAAAATGGGGTATATGGGTTCACGTTTAAGTATAGCCCCATATAACGGGCTACACAATTTCCAATCAAATTAGATGAAACTTGACAATTGGGTTTCTCGGTAGGTCCAATCCTGGCAAAAAATGTCAGATTCTGGTTCACTAGTTGGTATAGGTCCTATAAAACGGGACCTCCTGATTTTTGGCATTTTGAAGATTTCTGCCACAATTTCCAACCCAATTATATAAAGTGCGATGCCTTTTGGGTGACGTGCCAGAAAGGATTCGCAGATATATAGCATCTTGTGTTAGCAAAAATGTTTGTATGTGTAAAATATAAAGAGAAACTGATACTTATTTCGGATTTTATAAACATTTTGGTTATTCAAAACTTCGACCCTTTGCGAGGGAGGTACCAGAAGAAATGGTCCAATCTCTACCATCTTTATAACAGATCTTGTGTTGATGGAAATATTGAGATATGCTAACTCTGAATGGAATCGGATTTTAATTTCGCGTTTTATGAGCTCCATGGATTTTCAAAATGTTGTTGTTTTTTTGTGGGGGAGGTACCAGAAGGAGAGGATCGATATATCCCATTTTCGCAACAGATCTTGGGCTAGTAGAAATAATGGAATGTGTGAAATATAAAGAGAACCGGATGCTTATTTCGGATTTTATAAACGTTTTTGTTATTCAAAACTTTGACCCTTTGTGGGGGAAGTACCAGAAGAAATGGTTCAATCTCTACCATCTTTATAGCAGATCTTTTGTTAATGGAAATATTGAGATATGATAACTCTAAATGGAATCGGATGTTAATTTCGCGTTTTATGAGTTCCATGGATATTCAAATTTTTGAGCCTTCGTGGGGGAGGTACCAGAAGGAGAGGATCGAAATATCCCATCTTCACAACATATCTTGTGTTCGTAGAAACAATGAAATGTGTGGAATATAAAGAGAACCTGATGCTTATTTCAGGTTTTATGATCGTTTTGGTTTTTCAAAACTTTGGTTCTTTATGGAGGAGGTACCAGAAGGAATGGTCCGATCTCTATCATCTTTATAACAGATCTTGTGTTAATAGATATATTGAGATGCACCAAGTCTGAATGGAATCGGATGTTAATTTTGCTTTTTATAAGCTTCATGAATATTCAAAATTTTGACCCTTTGTGGGGAAGCTACCAAAATAAGTGGACCGATACATTTCATCTTTACAGCAGATCTTGTGTTAGTAGAAATAATGAAGTATGTGGAATATAAAGAGAACCTGATGCTAATTCCGAATTTTATAAACGTTTTTGTAATTCAGAAAGCTGACCCTTTGTGGGGGATGCACCAGAAGAAATTGTCCAATCTCTACCATCTTTATAGCAGATCTTGTGTTGATGGAAATATTGAGATATGTTAACTCTGAATGGAATCGGATGTTAATTTCGTGTTTTATGAGCTTAATGAATATTTAAAATTTCGAACTTTTTTTTTTTTTGGGGGGGGGGGGGTGTACCAGAAGGAATGAACTGATATATCCCAATTTCACACCAGACTTTGGGTTAAAAAAAATTATTTGGATTTATGAAATTTGAAGACAATCGGACTCTTACATCACAGTTTGTAGGAGTTGTAATTATTCAAAATGTTGACCCTTAGTGGGGGAGGTACTAGTATAATGGACCGATATTGTCCATTTTCATACCTGGCCTAGAACTGACGCAAATATTTGAACTTGCAAAGTTAGAGCAACATCAGATTATCGTTTCTCTTTTGTGGGGGAGGTACCAGAAGGAGTGGCCCCATATTGTCCATCTCCGAACTCGATCTAAGTTTGACAAAAATACTAAGATGTACCAAGTTTATACCAAATAGGATACTATTCGAGAGTTATCGTACGTACAAGCCAGACAAACAAACAGACAAACGGACGGATGAACATTCCTAGATCGACTCCAAATGTCCTGAAGCGGATTTGATCCAAAGAGACCTAGGGTCTAAAACCGTTATTTCGACTAGGTACGTTTTGACTCTCTAGCCATATAACTGGTGGTATAAAAAATACTAAAATTTTCATTAAACCCTGAATATTTTTAATTTCAGCAGAATCACGAATAGGTCACTTCTGAAAGTTGCATTGATGATGATATCTATCAGCATATATCAAAGAAGGGGACGTTAGTTAGACCACTTATAACTAAAGAGCGTTGAGTCTATAAATTACAAATAAACAATAAATAGATATATACAAACAATTATAGATATAGAGGAAGAGTATATAGATCCGGTATATATCTTCGAACCGGTAATAGTAACTTTTCATTTCATGGTGAGAATATGGTGATCCATATGACCATTATCCATTAATCTAAAAAAAAACTGTTTACTTCTTCAGATCATTAATGAAAAGCAAAAATTTAGTTTGCATATCCCTCATAACGATAGTGGTCTCCCTAATCTGCCATCAAGTCCACATGTGGCCAATTAGCTGTGGCATAGAGATTCAAGCTTTTCCAAAATTAAAAAAATTTTAAATAAATTTTCTAAATCTTTTTAATCTTTTCAAAATTAGAGAATTATGTCAGTAGTAGTTTTCTTCTTCTTCTTCTTTCTCAATTCCCATCGTTAAATGTCCAAACTATTTGTGTTTCTTTAAAAGTTTACTTAAAAAGTCAAATTTATAAATGAATTATGTCTCGCCGCTGAAAGATTATTAAATTTTGTTTATTGTTCTTGTTGTTGACTTTTGGACCATTTAAAATTATGACCGGAGAAGATTTTTTCTTTTTGGTTTTCGGTTTGAAATTTCGGGATTTATCATTGCTCGTAATCTTGAAGCGCACGCCGTTTGTCTCGGCATGCGGATCAGCATTCGTTTCGGAACAAGCCAACGTTGTATTGTTTTTGTAATGTTGCAGCAAGCCCGTCGTTGACGGTATTCGGAAATTTTTGTGTATGGTAGCAAAGTCCAAGCAGTTGGCTTCGTTCACAGCGTAGCAGATGAAGAATGCCAGAAAGAAAGTATCACAGTGTCTGACCTCGAAGATTGATTGGTCTACCACCAGAAAAACAGAAAACGAATATGGACAGGGGGAAGGAACAATGAAGCTGAAATGAAGATAGTAGCACAGTGTTTGGACTATAGCCATTGGCGAGCTCTCAAGCTGACCGATTATCTCCA